GCGTCATCGTGTGAACTGCAGGACACATGAACATCGACATTTTGAACGCATATCGGAGTCCATGCTGCGTGGACTACATACGGTACAGGGTTGTAAAACTATGCTAATTAAGTTGTTTAAAAATGTTTCGAAATTTTTAAGCATATGGTATATTTGGTATATTTATTTATATATTCTATAAATAATATTCATAATATTAAAGCATATATATGAAAGGTACTATATCTCATTGTAAATGTTGTATTTATATATTCTATAAATAATATTCATTATATTAAAGCATATATATGGAAGGTACTATATCTCAATGTAAATTTTGTATGAGAAAATTGAAATATATATATATTGCCTAAATAATTTGTGCACGTCAAACTGTTTTAGTAATATTGTTTGAATGCAATATCATTCCAGTGTTTCATTCCATTGTAAACTTTTTACAAGAAGATAAGCTTGAATTCTGCAGACCCTATTCGATAGCCAACATCCGCTCAAATAGCTCACATCAAGAGAATTGGCAGTGGGGAAAACGAATGTTACCTGCCGAAAGAAACAAATCTGTTTATAATTTTGTCATCGTTAAGTAAACGCGTATTGTTTTTTGAATATTGCAACATGGAAATTTCCGGCAATAATCGCTATGAGCTATTATCTATGGAGGATGAATCGGTGGCCCCTGCTATTCCACTTAAACAAAGCGCCGGATCCGGCAAAAATAAAAAAGACCATTCTGTACAGTCAAACACTGTTAAGAATGAAAAGGAAAATAAGATAAATACGCTTAATAAAAACATTACAAAAATTACAAATGACAACAACGGCCCAAAAGGAAATACTATTTCGAATGGTATAAGAGAATTGCGTACTAAAAATGTTCGTATGAACGGGTCAGAAAAGATTCATTCCAATTTACCAGAGTACAATAATGATCTTCCGCAAAGGCCTATTAGAGATCGGGAAAGTAAGGCTGCACGTTTCCGTGGTAATGAAAAGTTTGGAAAGCGAGAATTTGACCGTCAGTCAGGCTCGGATAAAACGGGTAAATATCGCCTATTTTTTGAAGGTTGATACATATATTTATGGAAGAAAAATTATAATATATAACGTTTATTTTATAGTTAAAAATCGTAAAAGTGGTCGTAAGGTCAATATGCCGTACAGATATATGTATATGTATATACATAGGTATAAAATTATCATTTGCATGTCTATTTGATTTGTAGAAGCGTGTTTCATATCCTTGAATATGATCTGTGTGATCAGATTTCGTAAATTTTAAAAAGCTTGTATCACTACTGCCAAGAGGCGGTTGTGACTTCCACAATCAATCGCCCAAAATCTGCAGAAACCTGTGGGCCACCTCGAAAGTAGTTATACAGAAAATAGGTTTTTATACCCTGAACACATTAAAAATGGGAAATCAGGGTATAATGGTTTTGTGTAAAAGTATGCATCGGGCTGAAGGAATCATCGCAGACCCCATAAAGTATATATATATTTCCTTGATCAGGACGACAAACTCTGTCGATATAGCCCTGTCCGTCTGTATGAGTGCGTCGACCTTAGTAGATACAAAAGCTAGATAGCTGAAATTTGGCATGCATACTCGTGTATACCATACGCAGTACGAGTTTGCTTT